TGCCGTCGCTCGGACGTCCATGTCCCGTGCATGTTTCGGTGTCGTGCGTGTTTTGTTTGCTCGATGGTCCAGGATGGTCCTCGATGGTTCTGCACACGTCCGAGCGATGCCGAGGTCTCCCTTGCATAACGTCGACGCCGCCAAACTCAACGATTCTGGCTGGCTGCAGCCGCTCGAGGGGCGGGCCAGGCCCAGCCGACGAGCCCACGGGAGCGGAACGGGGCAGGCGTTGAGCGATTTGTGCCGCCATGCAAAGGGGGGGGGGGGGAGGACGACAAGGCGACGGCCGAGGCGGGGGGGAGCTCAAGAAGCACACTGCGGGCCCCAGCAAATCGGGCGTGGCCCGCGGCTTCCGGGCAGGCTCCTCGGAGCAGGATGCTGGCGGAGGTCACCCGACACATCGCCCACAAACGAACCTTGAAAAGCTATCTGGAAGCGAATGCAAGGCCGTCAGGGACTTCGTGAAGGGTGCCCCGCTGCAGTTCCCGTTCGGAGCGGAACCCTCGTGGGAGATGGCCCTGACACGGTCAGTCTCAGCGTGCCCGTGCGAGCGCAACCACTGAAAACCTCGCTAGGGCTCCCTGCAACTCCTGGTCGAAAACGAGCCTAACTTGGCATGATTACACATCATCCCGCCGAATCCTGCTGAATCGGGCATAATCCCAAACTTCATCTGGGCCAACCTGGTTCGAGGCTCCTTAATAGGGTCTAAGAATCCTCAGTCGTTGGTGCGACAACCATCTAAGAGTTAACACCTAGGAGCCATGCCCGTAGTCAGCGCGCTAGGATTGAACAAAGACGGTCTGGCTAAAGCATATGGGCCCGAACCAAATGACGATCAAACAAAAACATATCAAAAGAAACAAAACCATCGACACGGTATCCGCTGGCGTGCCTGCCGGAATTCCAGACCCTGATGATCGAGGATCGACAGATCCACTTTAGCTAATTGCCATCTTATCGAACGCTGCTGAAGCACCCCATGGCGCGCGCAGCACCGCACTCCGACTGCACCCGGGCGGATTCAGGAGGGAAAGATGACGATCAAGAAAAGATGATGGGTGGAACCTGAATGGGCCCTGGAAACGACAGGGCCGTTTTTTCACTCGTTCCGTTTGCCGTTTTTTGCCAGTTCCGACGCCGTTTTTTTACCGGTTCCGTCGCCGTTTTTTGACCGGTTCCAGCTCTTCTTCCAATCCTGGAGCTGTTTTTTTTGCCGTTTCCGGTCACCATTTTTTTGCCGTTTCCATTTTCAATGGACACTTTTTTGGGAAACGGTGAAAAAACGGCCCTGCCGTTTCGGGGGCCCACAGAGGGTGGAACGATCAAAAAAATAGTGTCCGACGCTCGGGCTTCCGTTTCGCTTCGGCTCTGCCTGGCCGCTGGCCCGTCGACCGTCCATGCGCACGCACGTGGAAGGCGGCGGGGAACGATCAAGGAAATAGTTACCTGGCCCAGGGCGGTTTGCTCTAATCATCATCCCGGGCGCCGCCGCGTGAACACGAACCACGGAAACTTCTTGATCATCACGAGCCGACGTCCAAACAACGGCGAAACGCACGTATAATAGCGAAACAGGCCGGGAACCGCACCGGTGCACTCGCAGTGCCCAATTACGAGTGGACCCGTGCAGATGTCCGCTGTCGCTGTCGACTCGTCTGGGGGGCGGGGTCGAGCAGAGCGGCCCCCGTCGCACCTGCCCCCTTCCGCCTTGCGCTGGTCCCCCATCCCTCCCCGAGGCTCAGCCTGACCAGCTTTCCGAGCCGCGCCCGCGCGCGGTGGCGACCTGCTGAAACCGCCAGAAGCCCATCAGGACGACGACGACGACGACGACGACGACGACGACGACGCCGCCGTCGTCGCTCAGAGAAGTCGCCGCCCTGCGCCCCCCCCCGCACCCGCAGAAGCCATGCAACGCCTCATCCCACCTCCCCCCCCTGCCTGCAGACCACCGCCAGAGCACACCCCAGCAGCCCTGGCAGACGCCCGGAGACCTCGATCCTCGGTCCGCGATCCCCGACGACGGCGACGAACACTGAACTACGGCAGCTTCTTGTCGTGACGACTTTGGCGTGGGTTTCTGACACCGCGTGCATCGCTCAACCTTAGACGATCGGCAGCTCTTCGACCGCCAAATCGATCGCCCCTTATTGGCCGATTCTGGGCCACTGGCGGCGTTCAACCTGCCAGTGCTGGGGAAGCAGCCGCGCCGACAAGCGCGAAAACCTCTTGTGGCACGGGGAGGAGGAGGAGGAGCAGGAGGAGGAGCAGGAGGGAGAGGGGGAGGAAGAAAGGGGGGACGGGCTGAAACACGTCGTAGCAGCTGAGCCCGGAGCTGCAGGCATTAGCTTCAGTCCAGCGGACCAGCCAGCGAAGAGAGCCGCCGGCGCAACGCGGCGCGTCGACACACCACACGAATCTACGCTACCTGTCCTGTGCACGTCGTTGTGCGAGCACGCGCGCGCGTGCGCGAGGTCGCCGTCGTCGCCGACGCCAACGCGCGCACGGGCCTTCAACGCCGAGCTTCCCGAGAGCTCCCGCCGCGACACGGCGCCAGCACCGAGCGCCAATGCGGGCGGCGCGGCGGCGCCGCCGCGGTCGCGCCTTGTGGCGGGAGGTGCTCAAATCTCCGACGATGCTTTTAGTTCCAATCCGTGTGTCCTTCCTGATCTGACCTCCAACGTGAACAAGTTTTCGTCACTTTCGGAACGTATCATTAGGTTTCGCCGTTCCACCCTAAAAGACAAAATTGAAGTTTTCGTCGTTTTCGGAATCTGGGGACCCTCCCTGGGCCTCGGGACCGTCAAACAACGATCTGGGACGAGAGACGGGTCCCTGCGAAGTGTGCCAGATCTCTGAGGACCTCGTCTCGGAAGATCAGAACGTCTCCGACGATCTGCTCTGTTCAAGCCAACGCGCTTCCTCAATCTTGGCCTCCGGGGCTCGTCATCGGGCCTCGGCGCCGCCAAGAACTGATCCGAGCCGCAGAAACTTAGGAGACCGATTTCTGACCACACCCACTTCCCGAGGTGCCTTGCGAAAAGCGGTTTCCATAGGTGGAGGTGGGCAGTTTCCCCGCCCCAGGGGAAGGAAAAACGACCCACTTCCACCCCCGAGGGCCTATCATAGAATCGAGGATCCAGAAGTGGATGTGGTCAGAGATCGGTCTTCATCCCCGGGGAAGGGGTCGGAAACTCTGCCGGGGCGCGACTTGAGCAGACCGTGCCAGGGGATGCCCAAGGGGGAGATCGGCGGGCTCGGTCGGGTGCGCGCCGCAGGCGAGGGGGAACGGCTTCGAGGGCGGCTAGGGGTGCCCCTGGCCCGAGGTGCGCCCCCAACTCTTGGCTCAGTCTTGGAGCCCCTTGGGGCCCTCTGGGCCTCGTGGGGGGGTGCTCTGGAGGCCTTTTGTGGCCTCCTTGGACAGTCCCGGGGGCACCTTGGGCCGGGGGCACTTCCAGCAACGCTCGAGCGTCAGCGGGGGAAGGGCTCAGGGTTGGAAGCAGCGAGCCGGCATCGGCGATGCGTCGTCGACAGATCGGCGGGTGGGCCCCGATGGCGAGTCCGCATGCTCTTGGGCGTGGTGGGCTGTCAAGCCCCCGTGGGCTATGAGTGGGCGACTGAGGCTCGATACGTCCCCCACCCCTGGAGCCTAGTTCTCCCCTCGAACGCTTCCCTCGAGAAGAGGGGGGGCCAGCAAGAGGGGGGCTAGCGCATCATGGCCCGAGGCACGTGCGCGGGCGAGGGGGGAGGGGGGGGGCAAGGGGCATCTAAGAGATTTCATGGCCCCGGCCGCGATATCCACACACCCCTGGTCCTCACCCGCCCTCCTCGACGCTCGGTGCTCTTCGGCCCATAAACCCGGGCCTCCGTCGGCCCTTCGGGACCATCCGGGCAGACCTGGAAAGCCCTCGACGAGGCGCAGCTGCTGGAACAGCAGCCCGAGGCGAGAAGACCTCCGCGCACCAACGAAAGTTTACTCCCCCGCTCCCCCTTCAATGGATCATGAGGGGCAACGAAAGGGGGGGGAATTTTATAGGGGGGGGATGCACCGACCTGGAATCGGCGATACATCGCCGATAGATCGGCGATAGGCCCCCGATAGTGAATCCGCACCTTCCTGGGCGGGTTGGGGCTATAGGGCCACTGTCGGCGATCAATGGGCGGTTGGGGGTCGATGCATCCCCCCTTCGCGTACCCCTCCCTATCGTTGCCCCCGAGATCAAGGACCAACCGGTGTTCCTCTAGGCCTACCACCACACCTCCTTGGAGCAAAGGTGGGTTCTCATACCAACACGGCATTTCCAGCACGTGGAACCGACGACTTGAAGCAAGACAACGTCAGCCAGAAAATGTGATATAGAAGCATCGCACACAAACCGCAAGAGGTTCTTCGAACCCCAATAGCGCACCGCAGGCCCAAATCAATGATTTTCCTAATGGTGTTTAAACCCCAAGACGGCCCCAGAGGGCCCCAAGACGGCACAAAGAGATCCCCAAGACGGCCCAAGGGGCCCCCGAGACGGCCCAAGAGGACCCCAAGAGAGCCCCCAGGCGGCCGCGAGAGGCCCCCAATACGGCCTCCGCAGGGGCCAAACGGCGCAACGGCGCCCAATAAGCCCAAGACGCCCCCAAGAAACCCAAAGAGACCCCAAAGAGGTCCCCAAGAGACTCCCAAGCACCTCCAACAAGACTTGACTGTACGTACTCCGTAGGTGCACCCCGCGAAGCGAGAGGAATCGATTCATCCATCGGAAGGCTGGACCCCGGGAGCCGTCAGGACCCTGGCCCGCTTGGCAGCGAAGGCCGCCGCCGGAGCCTGCCCATCCGGCTGGGCGCCTGTGCACACGGGGCCAGAAGATGGCAGCGCACCGCCGATGCACTGCAGGACGCATCGGCGACGTCGGGACGAGGGAAATCGGACTCTGCAGCGCGTCTCACTGCCGATGAATCGGCGATTCGCGGCGACCCTCCGACCCCATCCGCCCTGACTCCGTTTTATTCCATCGCTCTTCGGGTGATGGCCAACGCGCTTGGAGCTTTGAATTGACTTCTGGTGCCTACATGCATGACTGTAATCTGCGGGGACGCGCAATTGGCGCCCCCTGCGGCACTTCAAGGCCAAACGCGGCGGCGGCCTCTTTACGCGGCACGTTCAAGAAGAGAAGGATGAGGAGGAGGAGCAGGAGGAGGACAGACGTGTGGCTCACAGCGCGATCTGGAGAGAAAGGGAGAGAGCGGCTCCTCAGACTCTCCAGCAATCGCTTCCCTCGTACCAGGAAGCGCCACCCAATTCGCAGCGGGGTCCCTGGCCCGCGTACGACACGCAGTGGTTCTGTGTGACCCTCCAGCAGTTCCCCCAGACCTGGTACCTGAGATCGGAACAGCCGTCCACGACGACCGGCGCGTCCTCGCCGACGCACCTCACGACCGCACCGCTGTGGCAGTAGAGCCCATCGCCGTGGACGGCCCCGCCGTTCCGGCAGAAGGGATCGTCGCACTGCGCCACCTCAGAAGGACAAAGAACGGCAGACAGAGGAACCTTCGAAGGCCAGCGTGGACTCCTTGGATCGATGCTGGACACGCCTCCCTGGCGCGCGGAGCACGCCAGGGGCGGCGGTGGAGGCGACCCAGGAAAACCGCGTGGGCCTTCGTAAGGCTATGCTCATGCCGCACGTTCTTCTTCTATACACCTGCAGGCCGATCCCGGTCTCCACGCAGTGGCTGCCCTGGCCGTGCTGGGGCGAGCAAGGCCTCGGGCCCCAGAGCTTGTACTTCCCGGCGGTGCAGTACACCATCGAGTCGCTCGGCGTGTTGTTCGCGCCGGGGACGCACGTCTGCCCTTCGGGGGCGCCGAGGCACAGCGGGTACTCCGTCTTCCCCGCGGCCGAGCTCTCCAGAGGCCTTGCCTGGCCCGCGTCGCCCTGCTGGCGGGCCAGCGCCGCCGCGGCGAAGGCGGTCGCGCGGTCCTCGCCGTCCTCAGGAACAGGGCGACCCAAACATGCTCGCGTCGTGGACAAAAAATACGGCGGGATGTTTTTGTTGCCGTTCTCGGCCTCTGGGAGCCCTCGCCAAATTCTCGGCGCCGTCGAAAAACGACCCGGGATGAAGAGCAGGGCGCGGGGAAAGAATTGGGACTCCTGGGGACCGCGTGTTGAAAAATCACAGCATCGCATGTCTGGGGAATTGATAACGCGGGATGGCGATTAATAAAAAATGGGAGGGAACGATTCAAAAAAGTAGTTTCCTGCTATTTCTGCACAATTTTCTGACTGGAGGAGAACGATTTAACAAAAATAGTGTTCCAGCCCGCGGCCGGTTTTTTTTAATCGTCATCCCGGGCGCCGCCGCATGAACACGACCCCCGGTCATTTATTAATCGTCATCCTCCATTACGACGGCAACTTGAGATCCCCACACCCTTCCGGGTGCCCAAGCGCACAGTTTTCCCGAGCTGCACCCCGCCTTGGCGGCGAGGCCCCCCGCCCGCCCCCGAGGCCAACAAAAAAAATATGTTCATGTTCAGGCGATGCAGTCGGGGCATTGACCTAAGGAACCTTAAATAAGGAACGGGGCCCCTTTCTCCCACGCGTTGAACTTCGATTTCCCATGGAAAACCTCAGGAGAACTGAAAGCAAACTGCAGAACAATTAAGGAACACGGAGCCCCTCTCCAACGAAAAGGGTTCCTTCTTCAGGGCCCAGACTGTAGTCCAAGTTATCCGGTGGGGGGAGGGGGATGGAGGTGCCAGCCGATAGCCCAGCCTTTTCGCCTTGGGCAGCCCAGCGCGTGCCCGCGCGCACCAATACTGCGCACCCCCCTCGGACCTGCGCAACCGACAAGGTCAGCCTATCCAGGGGGGGGGGAACGGGGCCAAGACAACCCGTGGTATCGCCGGACCCTAAACTCGGACACCCGAGATGGGCACGGACAAACATAGGCACGATGCCCAACAGCGCATATTGTCCAAAGCCGACAGCGGCCGCGGTCGGGCAGGCGGCCTCGCGCTTCAGAATGAGCAGCAGCCGCGGCGACACCGACAGCGAGTCCTGCTCCAAATGAGCAGGCACTGCTGCGGGTCTGGGTGCCCATTTTTCCCGCACACATCTCGATCGTCCCGACTAATACCGCTGTCTCGGCTTCCTCGGAGTCCTGCTGCGGGCGCGCCGGGGAGTCCTCGTCGAGGCCGCGGCAGAGCTCCTCTCGGGAAGCCGAAAGATACCCATTGGCGGCCGCGCACACAGAGGGTAGGGAGAGGGGGCAAGGCTTCTAATAGAAGGAGGCCGCTTCTTAGAAGTGGCAGGCCGCGCTTTCTAAGGAGCAGGGGTGCTTCTAAGAAGCACTGTTCTCTCCCTACCCCCATCTGCGCGTGGCTGAACCCATGCCGATACTCCCGGACCTCTCTTGGGATGCTCTCTGGCCAGGATCTCGAAGCGAAGCCAGCCGTGGGGATGAAAAACCCCCGGGAGGCCTAAAAGCTCTCAGATCTGACGTCGCAAAACATGGCAAATAATCACCACCTGAGTCATGGACCCCAAGTTTGGTTCTGGGCAAAGGGGGTCCTTCGTAATAGGGTCGCCCCAAAAAATACGTCATCCTGTGGCGCAGGGCGCGTGGCAGCCACGTGCTGATACTGTACGACGTGCGTATCCCATTGCACGAACTATTGCGCACATGTTTGAGACCCCCTTTGCAACGGACCCATTAGCCCAAATACGATCTTTCTATGCAATTTTTCAAATGGGATCGATCTGTGAGGGTCCCAGGACCCGAGCCCGGGCGAAAACGCCCGTTGTGAAAAACGAGACAAATGTATCGGTGTCGTTATCTGAAAGAGCGCGTTCTACCGCTGCTGGCGGAAAACCCGGGGGGGTCACTACCGGTTCGAACCCCTCCCCCCCCCCCCTTCGGAAAACCGGGGGGGTCACTACCGGTTCGAACCCCTCCCCCCCCCCCCCCAGTTCATCATGAAAAAGGGGGGGGGTCACTACCGGTTCGAACCCCCCCCCCCTCGAACTCGAAAACCGGGGGGGGGTCACTACCGGTTCGAACCCCCCCCCCTCCCCCCCCTCGAAAACCGAGGGGGGGTGCGGACATTGGTGGGGACGGTGGTGGTGGGGACAGTGGTGAGGGGACAGCGGGACAGTGTAGTGGGGACGGTAGTGGTGGGGACACTGGTGAGGACAATGGTGGGAACAGTGAGGCGGTGGGACAGTGGTGGGGACGGTGGTGGTGGGGACAGTGGGAATGTGGCGGAAACAGTAGGACAGTGGAGGGTACAGTGGTGAAGGCGGTGGCGAGGACGGCGGTGGGACAATGGGACAGAGGTACAGTGGGACAGTGGTGGGGACAGTGGTGGGAACAGTGGGACAGCTCAGTGGGACAGCGGAGGAGTCAGTGGGACAGTGGGGACAGTGGGGATAGTCGGGCAGTGATTGGGGCCGTGGAGAAAGTTGGGAGAGTTGAACCGTGGTGGGAACAGTGGTGGGGACAGTGGGGACAGTGCGACAGTGGTGGTGGCACTGGTGGGGACAGTAGGGGCGGTGGAACCAGTGGGGACAGTGGTGGTGAGGACAGTGGTGCTGGGAACAACAGTGGGGGATGTGGTGAGGACGGTGGTAGGGACCGGGAGTCGTTTCCTGGCGGTGAGAGGGGGGGGTGGGGGGGTTCGAAACGGTAGTTGACCCCCTCCTCCGGTTTTCGAAGGGGGGGGGTTCGAACCGGCAGTGAACCCCCCGGTTTTCGAGAGGGGAGGGGGGGGGGGGGGGAGGGTTAGGAGAGGGGGGGTTTTGCCGGGGGAGAGGGGGGGGGGGGGGGGGAGGGGTTGCAGCAGGGGGGTGGGGATTCTCGGAGGGGGGGGGGAACCCCGGGCTCCGGAGGAAAAAGTTGGCAATTTTCCACAGTAAAGCGGCGGTGGATCACGCTCTCTCCACTATCTATAGAGGCCTCCCAGATGGGGTCGGAATAGATGGGTATCGGAAAATCGCGCCGCATCGCCGATGCACCGGATGCATCGCCGATGCCTCGGCGCCATCGGCGTGGATAAAATTGGGCTCCACATCGAGCCGCTTCGGGGATGCATCGGCGAAACGGCGCAATTCTTCAGCCCTCAGAATTCATCTAGGAGGCTAAGAGGTATCGGTATCGGTACGGCGGTTTCGTGTCGTGACAACCTGCGCCTTGGATTCTGACACTCTTCTGATTTCTTGGATCGGCGCTGGACTCCCCTCCCTGGCGCCAGAGCGCGTCATGGGGGCTCCAGCGCTGCTTCAAGAACGCCGCGCGGACCTCCGACAGTCTACAGTCGGAGCGCTGACCTAAGGAACCCTAAATAAGGAACGAGGCCCCTTTTTTTCCATAAGTTAACCTTCGATTTCCTGTCGAAAACAAAAGGAAAACCTGAGGCAAGCTGTGAAATACTTAAAAAAAAACGCGGAGCCCCTCCCCAACCAAAAGGGTTCCTTCTTCAGGGCCCCGACTGTATGCTCATGAAACTGTTTAGTCCTCGAGGCATCGGCATCGGTACCTCTTCCTCCTCTGATCCTCCAGGTCCGAGGGCAGGCCCGCCATCGCCATCGCCGTCTTCATCGCCGTCGCCATCATCGGCAACGCCATCAGCGTCATCGCCATCCCCATCATCGCCATCGCCATCATCGCCATCGCAATCGCCATCGCCATCGGCATCGCCATCATCGTCATCGCCATCGCCACCATCGGCATCGCCATCGCCATCGGCATCGCCATCGCCATGGCCACTGCCATCGCCATCGCCATGGCCACCGCCATCATCGCCCTCGCCCCCCGCCACCGCCATCGCCACCTGCTCGGATCCTCCAGGTCCGAGGGCAGGCGCGCCAGGGCCCGCGCCGGCGCGCAGGCCTCGGCGCCCCACCAGACAAACACCCCAAGCCGACCCGAAGACCCGAATTTCGGGGGGGGGGGGGGGGG